GGACTCCAAAATCACTGTGAATGGTGACTGCAGCCATGAAATTAAAATACACCTGCTCCTAGGAAGGAAAGCTATCACAAACCTAGACAACATATTTTGAACTGTTGTGTTGGAGAAGATTCTTGAGAGTCCCTTGGACTGCAAGGAGGTTCAACCAGTCCATCCTAAATGAGATCAGTCCTGGGTGTTCATTGGAAGGACTGATGCTGAAGCTGAAACTCCAATACTTTGGCCACCTCATGCGAAGAGTTGACTCATTGGAAAAGACCCTGATGCTAGGAGGGACTGGAGGCAGGAGAAGGGACGACAGAGGATGAGATGACTGGATGGCATCACTGACTCAATGGACATGAGTTTGAGTAAACTCCGGGAGTTGGTGATGGACAGGGAGGCCTGGCATGCTGCGATTCATGGGGTCGCAATGAGTCGGACACGACTGAGTGACTGAACTGAACTGAGACAGCATGTTAAAAAACAGGTAGATACATCACTTTGCAGACAAAGGTTCATATGGTCAAAGCTGTGGTTTTTCTAGTAGTCATGTATGGATGTGAGAGTTGGACCTCAAAGAAGTCTGAGCCCTGAAGAATTGATACTTTCCAATTGTGGTGCAGGAGAAAACTCTTTAATTAAGAGTCCCTTGCACAGCAAGGAGATCAAACCCGTCAATCCTAAAAGAAATTAACCCTGAATATTAACTGGAAGAACTAGTGCTGAAGCTCCAATAATTTGGCCACCTGATGCAAAGAGCCAACTCATTGGAAAAGACCCTGTTGCTGGGAAAGGCTGAAGGCAAAAGAAGAAGGGGGCAGCTGAGGATGAGATGGTTAGATAATGTCACCAGTTCAATGAACATGAATTTGAGCAAACTCCAGGAGACAGTGGAGGACAGAGGCTGCGTGCTGTAGTCCATGGGGTCGCAAGAGTCAGATACAACTTAGACACTGAACAACAACAAAATGTTACACAATTTTTTTTCTTTAGCCACAGACTTTATTATTTGAATATTTGCAATTATGACTCTATACACAAATTTTAATTTCTTACAAAACTCTACATTCCATATTGCTAGGTCACTTCACTCTGTTTTATGCCACATTTCCATCAAGAGGCGTTTCCCCAAATCACAATCTGCCTGATTGTGTTTGTTGTTGTAATTTAGTTGCTAAGTTGTGTCTGACTCTACGACTCTGTGGACTGTAGCCTGTGAGGCTACTCTGTCTATGGGATTTCCCAGACAAGAATACTGGAGTGGGTTGCCATTTCCTTCTCCAGGGTACATTTTTTTAAATGTTTATTTATTTAACTGTGCCAAGTCTTAGTTGTGGCATGCAGTATCTTTTCTTTTAGTTGTGGCATGCAAAATCTTAGTTGTGGCATGAGGGATCTGGTTGCCTGAACCAGGACTGAACTCAAGCCCCCTGTTTTGGGAGCTCAGGGTCTTAGGTACTGGACCACCAGGGAAGTCCCTAAATGCTGTACATTTTAACTGTAATGATGGTTACATGGGTGTATGCATTTGTCACTTAAAATGGTAATCTTTTTACATAGTAATTGTGTAGTAAGTAAATTATACCTCAATATAGGTGATTTAAACAGAAAAATCACTTATATTTCTATTAACTATCAAGAAACCATAGAAAAGTACATGTTTAAAATACATTTGTGGCTTAGACATTTAAAACATACCATAAAATAGGAGTATACAATGGGATAAATCTAATGAAAGATTGAAAGATTGAAAAATCAATCCATACACTTAAGAGGTGTGCAGTTTATTGTATGTGTGTTTTACTTTAACAAAAATATTAACAAAAATATGTTGCACATATAACTTGATAAAAACAAGCCATAAATGAAACTATTATGTTAATATTAGAAATGTTAAAGTAGGCATGATTAAAGATATTTTAAAGGAATTGTGTAGATAAAATGGATATAGGAGATAATGAAGCAGAAGAAAGAGTTTAAGATAACTCAGACTTCAAACCTAGATAATTGTGAAACCTCTATAATTAAAAATAAGAATAAGGTTTATCTACTAAGGACTTGTGTTTCTAGCAATGATCATGAATTGTGTTTTGAAAATACTAGGTTTAAAGTTAAAATACCTAAATGTAAAATATTTTTGTTCAAGTCTTCTATGACTCTTGAGTAATGTGTCATTATTCTGAGTAAAAATCAGTTTAAACAATTACATAGAATCTAGAAATTCAGCCATTAAAGATTATCACAAATTTCATAGCTCTGAATCCTACTCCACACTGATGATATATTAGAGACAATATAAAAGTATTATCACTGATTTTGGAATTCCAGGGTAAATCACACATGAGCATGACGTATCCTTTTTATATCTGACTTTCCTTAAGTTGCTAGTAATTCGCTAATGATACTTGTATCTGTGTTCTTGAGGGACATTTGGTTTATAATTTTCTTTTTTTTTTTTTTGGTAATCTTCTTGTCAGATTTTGTTATCAAAGTTATACTGGCTTTATAAGAAAGTATTCCCTCCTCTATTTTTGAAAGTTGCTTTATCATCTTCTTTCAGTTTTGGTGATTATTGTTTTTAAGGATTTGCCCATTTCATGTAGGTTGTTAAATTATTGACACAAGTTTTAAATTATATGCCCCTAAGTCATTTAATCAGTTTAGGTTCCCTAATGACATCCTTTTCATCCTTCGTGGTATTGGTCATTTATTTTTTTCTCATATTTTAAAAATTCAACCTACTCAAGTATCTTTTTAAAAATCTTCTAAAAGACCAACTTTCAATTTGTTGAGTTCTCTATTTTCATATTTTTATTTCATCTTCTCATATATTTTACTCCTTTTTCTACTTATTTTTAAATTCTTTTCAGTTTTTTTAGCTTTCTTAGCACTGTGTTTTCCTCTAAGCATAGGTTTAGGTGTATCCCATAAAGTTTGATACATTGTGTTTTCGTTATCTTTCAGTTAGAAAATTTTCTAATTTTTCTTATTGCTTCCTCTTTGAGCTAGAAATGGATTATTTAATATTTAAGGATTCTCTAGTTGTCTTTCGGAGAAGGCAATGGCACCCCACTCCAGTCCTCTTGCCTGGAAAATCCCATGGATGGAGGGGCCTGGTGGGCTGCAGTCCATGGGGTCGCTAAGAGTCGGACACGACTGAGCGACTTCACTTTCACTTTTCATTTTCCTGCATTGGAGAAGGAAATGGCAACCCACTCCAGTGTTCTTGCCTGGAGAATCCCAGGGACGGGGGAGCCTGGTGGGCTGCCGTCTATGGGGTTGCACAGAGTCAGACACGACTGAAGTGACTTAGCAGCAGCAGCAGTTCTTTTTGTTACTATTTTCTATTATGGTCAGAGAATATACCCTGAATGATTTCAATTATTAGGAATTTTTGAGTCTTGTCTTGCGGTACAGCATGAGTCCATCTTGGTGAAGGTTCCATGTTTTATTACTTAAAAAGACTGTGTATACTACAGTTGTGAGATTTAGTTGTTCTATAAATATCAGTTAGGTTAAGTTGCTTGATAATATTGTTCAAATCTTCTATCTCCTGACTGATGTGTGTGTGTGTGTGTGTGTGTATGTACTTGATTCATCAGTTACTCAAAGCAATATGCTAAAATCTCCAGCTATCACTGTGGTTTTGCCTGTTGTAAGATCAGACCCCTCAAAATGGCAGTTCTCCTCCTCTTTGTATATCCCCTGCTCAACCAGTTCCTTCCCCACCTGGTTATTATTCTAATCCTTGGACTAGTAGCTTTACCTGCTAGTTTATCAAGGGGAAACATTTGCCCTCATTAGCCAGTGGGGCTGCAAAGTACCCACCTCTGCTAGTTTACCTGGTAGCTGATGAGCCAATCTGAGGTTAATTGCCCCTATAAATGGTGGCCTCCTTTTCCTGGAACAATGAAGATTACTGCCATATCCAAACTGCCTTTTGGGTTGAGGTGTAGCTCCAGGACTTTGGACTTGTAAGATTTCATACTGTTGATGTTTCTGTCACCATTTACAGGTTCTTTATTCTGTCTCACAGCTAAGCAATTACAAGGCTTGCAGGCCTGCAAGGTGTAGGTCAACGTCTGTATTTCCCTTTAGTTTTATAAACTTCTGCTACCTTTCTTTTGAAGCTCTTTTAGTAAATGCAGACACATTTGTCATTGGTGTGGCTTAATGAACTAACCTTTTGTTAATGTGAAATAACCTTATTTATGTCTGGTAATGTTCCTCGTCTTAAAGTTTACTTTGTCTGATATTAATATAGACACCAGTTTTCTTATATTTAGTGTTTGCATAGTTCTAGAATTCTCATTTGTTTCTTTTTTGGAATTTTACTCTTAAAATACTCCATGGCTTCATGCACTATAATTAAACCTATAATGTAAGTCTTTAATGTATTTATAATATTTTAAAGTCCTTGATGCTAATTACAATGACTGGATTCTCAGTGAATTGGTTTGTATTGACTGTATTTTCTTTTGATTATGGATCCCATTTTCCTTCTTTGTATGTCTTGAAATTGTTTTATTGTGTATTAGACATTATGTGGAAAAAATTTTGGAGACTTAAGTTTAATTTAATTTTAGTTTTGAGAGCATAAGCCTTTTTCTCTCCTTAGCACTTCAAGTGAGAGGCTGATTTTTTTAAATCCTCCTAGATTTGAGTTGGGCTTTAGGATTAATTGTAGCTTTAATTAGACTGAGCTCACCTGTGACTAACTCAACCTCCAACCTCCCTCTTGAGAGCCACCTCTTATCGCTTATCAGTGTTGAATTGGGACACACGTGGAATGAAGTTTTAGATGATTTCAGTTCACCTTTGGATCCAACTCTGTCTGGGCTCCTGGAACCCAAGTACTATAAGCACATGTTGGCTTGTCTAGGTTCTGTATCTTTCCAGCCCCTCCTCTACTGCTGCTTTCTTGACAAAATTTAGAAGCAAGATGTGGGCACCTGGGAAGGGACTATTTGGTTGAGTCGTTTATTTTTTTTCATTTGGGTGTCTTTCAGACTCCAGTCTGTTCCCCAGCTCATGCAGACACTTGAAGCCCAGCTGATTTCTCTTCATCTCTTCAAAGTTACTGCCCCATGGCAGGCCAACAACAGTTGCCGCACAGAACTCACTGTCAGGTAAGGGAACTGCCACAACTTTATACTTACTTATAAACGAGATGTTTCTTTCTGGATTTTGGGTCACCAGGGTTTCCCAGGAGGGCAGCTTCATGGGCTTGCAAGCTGTGCATTTGCATGCGTCTACTGATAGGAAGGACCCTACACTAGGTTTAGTGATCTGATGTTACCATCTTAAAATTCTTATGTTTTGAGCACTGGGACTCTAAATCGTCACAAATTATATAGTCCTACTTGGTGGCATCCACCAATTTTCACGAACCCCATAGAAAAGTAAGATTTTTATTTGGTCCAGGATTTTCTTGTTGTTACTGTGGAATCATTAGCATTTTGTATCCTACATCCTACCAAGGTCATAAGCCTATTTAATTTATGCCTCACCTCCCTCTAACTTTCCCCCTAGAGAACTCTGGAATTTTATATTGAAATTAACTGACGTTTTCCTATGCACATTTCATTTCTTTAATTCATTTTTCTAATTCCCTTTAGTTGAAATGTGGGTATTTTTAGTGCTTTCTTTTAGAAGTGGTTTGACATCCATTATAAGGCAGGGAGAAAAGGATACCATTTAAATTGTTGTAATTATATTACTTTGTATTGTGTGCATTTCAAAAAATACTGATGACTTTCCTCTAGTAAAATTGCTATTTTCACTATCCCTAAAGATACTATATGATGAACATTTTTTTTTTGTCTTTCAGTATTCTGTGCACACCATCTATTATTTTTTTTCTTTTCTCAGTTTGACTAGACCTAAAGCCACATGTTTTTCATAAAATTTCTTGACAGCTCTACACATCTTTGCTTCTGTATGCTTATTTTTTATAATGACTATCACATATGCTCTTTATTTTGTTATTGTATTATCTGTTATATATTTACTTATATTCTTCACATATTTTAAACAGTATTACGACAATGAAATATTCTATTCCACCTCAAATGTGTAGTCATTTTGCAAAGCATGGCCTTGTGATTTTGTAATCTTGATCATTGTATCTATTGATATGAAATATGTTCTAGTAAATTAAACCTTAAGATTGTCTTTTCAGACATGTCATCTTCAGAGCATTAGGGTATTATATTAGGATATTCTGAAGTCCTGTTATTTTTGCCTTCTCATTGGTTTTTCATTCTTTAGAAATGGTTTTATTATTTTTTTAGAATACCTACACATTTCTTTGACATTAATCTACTCATTTATTCATTAATTTAAAAATATTGCCAGTTTATGTGCATAATTTACAACCATTGGCCAGCCACTACATGAAATTTTGACTCTTCAGCAGTGGTTACACTACATTTTCTGTCCTCATAGAGAAACAGATCTGCTGTTGTTACCATAAAGGATCTTTGGGGGACCTAGGAAGCCTTCCTAGAAAAGTGACTTTTAATTTAATGTTTGATATAAAAGTTAAATAGGTCAAGAATGAATTGAAGGAAGAGAGTTTGGAACACAGATCCTTCTAAGCAGGAGAAAGAATATGTACGCAGTCTCCAAGGAATAGTAAAATGTCTGGATTAAAATTAATCTGTCTGGTGAAAGACTACATTTTCAATTTCCAAAGAAACTAACAAAATGGGATTATAACTTATTACTTTGAAACATTAAAAGATTTATTTTCACCAGGTCACTTCTGTGCCTCTTAAAATATTTCATCAGTAAAAGGAGAATGTTATTATATATTATTGACTCTGAATTTATTGTAGACACCGTCCAAGATAGCCTAAAATATCTTGAAACTCATGATGGAATTAGAAATGAGGACATTGAGCAGGATTCATATGTAGCTTTTCTGTAGGAAAAGTGCATGAGAAGGAGGCCTTTTATAGAATTTGGTTTGCAGACTCAGAATTTAAACATTAATCTCTGTCCCTTTTCAAAGTACAAGAACTGTACAAGGAGAATAGTTTACAGTATCTTACTTACAGCTCTTAAAATTATAACTGAAGTCCATTATCATGAGGTACTTAAATAAATTAAGTATAACCATCCTATAAACAATCTGAATTTATGTTAATGAACAATATTGATTTTACTTCATTAGAAAATGCAAGAACCTCCAAAGAACATTGAAGAATTTTTAAAGCTTCAAAACTTGGTGAGTAGAATATCCTATTTTATGGGACCATCACCACTGGTACACATATCAGTCCTTTTCCTTTAGGAAGATACAGCAATTCTTTTTGATTGCCCTTAGAATTACTTTGAAAGTTTCAAAAGAAATTGTTGAGAGTTTGATTGGAATTACAATAGACTTTTGAAATTACTTTTAGAAACAGTCCTTTTAAAAAATATATTCTAAAATCACATAGTGTTAGAGCTATAAAGACTTGAAGTGCCACCACTCATCTATCAACCTCCTTAAAATGTAATTTTTTAAATTTCAAAATTACCAATTTTTTTTTCTGGTTATAACTAAGAGAGTCATTTTATAAAATTAAAGAGAAAAGCACTAAAAAAGATAAGCATCTTAATTTTATCCTTTATAGATTAACCAGATATATCTCTGTATTTAGAGAAAACAATCTAATCAAGCTGGTAGAATTTCAGGATACTTTATTCATAGTATAATTATATAGTATAATTCAATATCTTGAATAAGAGTTGTAATATCTCGAGTCTGACATAAAGGTGTATTTTCATAAACCCTCAGGCATGTTGTAAAATCTGTTCAAGTTCATTTCCATTTAAGCCTTTCCCCACTTTCCCCAAATTCATTTCCATTTTAATGGGCCGGGAAGATCCCCTGGAGAAGGAAATGGCAACCCACTCCAGTACTCTTGCCTGGAAAATTCCATGGACTGAAGAGCCTGGTAGGCTACAGTCCATGGGGTTGCAGAGTCAGACACGACTGATCAACTTCACTAAGTCACTAAGGAATCTTTTAAAGGAAGAAAAATGGAAGTAGAATAGGCCAAGGCAAAATTTAAAATTTCTAATCTGCAGACTTCAGATTTATTCCCATTTAAGCTAAATGCCCAGAATATCTTACCCACATTCTTCTTAAAAGAGTTTCATCCTATGAAAACTGCTACTATTCCAGAAAGCATTCTCTTATTCACAAACCTTTCATTATGTCCATTATCTTTCTTTGTTTTGGTATTCAACAACTCAATCAAAATATTATCTTGTGTTTAGATTTGCAAATATTAATGTTGTGATTCCCCTTTCCTTCCTTTTCCTTCTTCTACTTCCCTTCCTAAACAATGTAGTCCTAAAGCCATTTGGGGGTCCAAACAAAGCAGCATCCACATTGGTAGGGGAAGGAAATGTTCTGTGGTCACCCAGAGCAGGCTTTCTGAACTCTAAGACCATGGGGAAGGTATCCATGTGACTCCACAGGTGTCTGAGTCCAAAGGGGTGAGGATGGTATTTGTGTGTGACCAGGGTGGGGAGGTGGTTCCAGGAAATGCAGAGACAGACTGTGGCCTGGTTTGGAAAGTCAGAGCCTAAGCAGAATAAGAAGGGCATCCATATACTGAAGAGTCTAGCAGTGGAAAGGAGAGATCGGTTACCTGAGAAGATTGATCAAATCAGTACATATATTTAAGATAATGTCAGTTAGGTTTTTCATTCTTGGAAATGGTAATTATGATATGGAAAAAGAGAAAACTAGAATGTTTGGAACTGGAATTAGATTTATCAGTATGAACTCATGGCTTTAATTACATAGAGGTCAAGACTGAGAAACTGTTGTAGACCGAAGGGGATTAAAGACATATGATGCTTAAATGCAATGTGTGATAACTGAACTAGATCCTTTTACCATAAAGAGCATTATTGATTTAGTTGATGAACTCAAGTAATCTCAGAGAATTATATAGGAATGATGTAATAATGCCAGTTTCCTTATTCTGATGGTTATAGTTGGTTATGTAGGGGAATGTTTTTGTTCTTTGGAGACAAATGCTCAAGTATTCAAGGATGATAGGGGCATCAGTCAAATAAGCAATTTACTTTCAAATGATTCAGGAAGAAAGGTTTTTGTAAAGCATTTGAAACTTCTAAAGTTTAAGGTTTTTTACAAATTAAAAAATATACATTTAATAAAAATCATGCTGTAGAATAAAACTTCAATTCTAGCTCATTGATTTTTGAACTCTTTAAATTCATTTAAAAATTGGTTTGAGTTGTATTGTCTCACATTTTCTGCAGGATCATTGGCCAAAGGAAATCCATTTATGGGAAAGTGATGAATTGTTACACACTATGAAAAAAATAAAACAAGATAGTTCATTTACTTCCATTTATACACATCTGTGGGGAAATGTCCTGCGAGTAGATGATGCAGCTATGGCCATGGAATCAAGACTAGCAGAATATTCAATTCTTTTGAAAAACCATGCTTCTGAAATATTTGAGTGGAACAGAATAATTTCCAGGACAAGTAAATGTATTTTTTCTTATGCATAAAGTAATTGTCAGTTGTATGTGTGTCTGTTGTGCTTGTGTCTATATGTGTGTGTATTCTCATAAAGAATGAAATCCTAAGATATAAAATATCTAAAAACATAAATTTTTTTTATTTTAAAACCTTTTCATTTCAAAATGGTCCAGTATGTCTTTTTAGTTGAACTTGACCATTTGGATCCAAAGAAAATGTTGCTGGGACAAAACCTATAACAGTTCTTGAGCTGGAGCGGAGATAACTGAATATCAGAGAAACAGAGTTGCATTAACAAATATTGGTACCAGAGACAAGCAAGTCAGCAAGAATCAAGATATAAAAACAGTTAGACCTATAACCAAATTTAAAGGAGTGAGACTTCACCTATATAAGCTAAGTTAGTTTGTGAGAAATACTTAGCATTCACTATTGGATAACTGCAGACTGAGTGAAAAGCTTATCTGTAAGTAAGGATAATTTTTACTGCTTTTCAGTATTTATATAACCTTTATCTAGTTGTATTTTTAGCACTTTCAGAACACTTTTAGATACTAATGGTGATTCTTATTCTTTAATGGGCAAACATATGTCATATATGTCTTAAGAATGATATTGGTTGTACTTACATTTTCTGTGTATTAAACATGTAATTATTTAGCTACTTAATATCCTTTTCAGACCTTGAGTTTTCAAAATCTGAGTGTGTTTAAATACAATGTTAAATTCACTACTGTGAGAATTTTCTTATGATATTTTTAATTATTAAAAATTTTTTGAAATTATACAAGCTACATATATATAGCTGTGTCTATATAAACATACAGGGAGAGAGAAAGCATGTGTGCATAATTTTAAAAAGCAACTTTTTATTTACTCATTGTCCTCAGTATGTAAGTATCAGAGCTTAGACTCAAGTCTAGATTATCTGACTTCAAAGCCCCCATAGTCTTTCGCTGGGCCATGCTCCAGACTCCTGTACCATATTGTATTTAAGGTAACCATGAAACAACCAAATGTGAGTGGCTGAGCTGTTTGAAAAACTTGGAGTTGTTCAGTAAGAAGGGATTAAGGTAAAATTGTAGATATAGGAGCAAGTCTGTCTTGCTCTAAAGACAGACTAATTGGAAGGTGACATTTCTAAATAGCAAAAGGAATAGGAAAAAGATAAAATTTAACTCAGACTAGCATTATGCATCTAGCATTATGCTTATCAAAATACTTAATTGGAGTTTGGGACCCCAAAGCTGATGCTCTGTGACAATCAGGAGGGATTGGGTGAGGTGGGAGGGGTGACCAGGAGTAAGGGGACATGTATGTGCCTATGGCTGATTCATGTTGATGTATGTCAAAAAACCATCACAATATTATAATTATCCTTCCATTAAATAAATTATAAAAATTTAATAACTGGTTGATATCATTGGACAGTTTTATATGTAATTTTCTTAATATATATAATTATATATAATCTGCTTTTCAATTTTAAAGGATATTTGTGTATTTACATGTTGTAAACTCTCATTTTTTAAAGTTTCTCATGGAAAACTGAAACAATACAAGGCATTTCTAAAGAAGTACCATAAGGAAAAGAAGATAATGGTATGGTATTTGTTTTCATCTTGCTTGAAAAACTATTTCACAGAATACATCACTATAAGTTCATAGATAAGCATTGATAACATTAAAAATTTCCTTTTAGTCTCTTATCATTTATCTATCCCTGTATTTTTAAAATAGCTGGGCTCATAGTCTTCTTTATACACTCGGTATGACTGTTGGTGTTCTCACATCACTGCAGTTCATTTGAAGACTTATTTTATCCTCCGCTTATTTAAAAATTTATAACATCTTATACTTAGGGGTATATGTCCCATATGTCCTTTTCCTTTAGGAAAAAATAACAGTTTTTATTGCCTATAGAAATACTTTGTTAACTTTAAAAAAAAAAATCTCTGAGAGTTTGATTAGAATTATAATAGGCTTTTGAGTTACTTTGATAAACTTTATCTTTTCAAAAAATACATTCTAAAATTAAAGCTAGGAAAACTTGAAATGCAGCCATTCATCCATCCACCTCCTCAAATATTTTTTAAATTTCAAATTACTTCCTATGTTATTTTTCCTGATTATGACTAAGGTAGTCATTATAGAAAATTAAGCAATAAGCACTAAACAGGATAAGCATCTTTATTTTATCATTTATAGATAAATAACATATCTCACTATTGTTATTTTCATTTTTCTTTTTATTTAAAAACATTTTAAGTTCAAATTAAACTAACTTTTAAACATAAAAAATTAAATGTTTTATGGAATTTTTACCATTACAAAATGTAGAAGGTTTCTACATCATTTAAAAAAATAAACTAATGTAATGGCCTTCTTGTTGGATGTTTGGTTAAATTTCATTATTATTTACAAAGCTGCTAGGAATATATTTGGAGCTAAAATTTGTGATTATGCATGATTATTTTATGATAAATTTCAGGAGTGAAACTACTAATACATGGGAAAAATGTGAAAATCTAAGTGTTTTGATACATATTGCTAAACTGTTTTCTAGAAAGGAGGTACAGTTCAGTTCAGTCACTCAGTAGTGTCTGACTCTTTGTGACTCCATGAACTATAGCACGCCAGGCTTCCCTGTCCATCACTAACTCCCGGAGGTTTACTCAAACTCATGTCCATCAAGTCGGTGATGCCATCCAACCATCTCATCCTCTGTCGTCCCCTTCTCCTCCTGCCTTCAATCTTGCCCAGCATCAGGGTCTTTTCAAATGAGTCAATTCTTTGCATCAAGTGACTGAAGTATTGGAGTTTCAACTTTAGCATCAGTCCTTCCAATGAATATTCAGGACTGATTTTCTTTAGGATTGACTAGTTGGATCTCCTTGCAGTCCAAGGGACTCTTAGGAGTCTTCTCCAACACCACAGTTCAAAAGCATCAATTCTTCTGCACTCAGCTTTCTTTATAGTCCAACTCTCACATCCATACTTGACTACTGGAAAAACCATATCTTTGACTAGACAGACCTTTGTTGGCCAAGTAATGTCTCTGCTTTTAAATAAGCTGCATAGGTTGGTCATAACTTTTCTTCCAAAGAGCAAGCGTCTTTTAATTTCATGGCAGCAGTCACTATCTGCAGTGATTTTGGAGCCCCCCAAAATAAAGTCTGTCACTGTTTCCAGTGTTTCCCCATCTACTTGCCATGAAGTGATGGGACCAGATGCCATGATCTTAGTTTTCTGAATGTTGAGTTTTAAGCCAACATAGCTAGTTATGTTAGTCATTGTAAATTTTGTATTTTCAAAAGGATTTCAAAAATTCTAGTGAATTGTATCAAATACTTTTCGGGATCTCTGGAAATGACCTTTTAAGTGAATTGCACTAACAAATTTTTTAATGATAATTTTGTTAAATATGTCTTACTGGATTTTATCAGGATTTTAAAATTTATTGTTTATATTTTTGTGGTATATTTTCCAGATTGTATTATCAAGAACTAGTTTTGTGTTACTGTTACTCTACTCTTTGAAAACTTCCAGTGTTTCTTTGTTTTCTGCAAACTAAAACCAGGACTTCAAGATTAATATCTTTTAAAATCCCATCTTAATTGACCAATTATGTCTGTAGCTCTCAAGCATACAGCTTTATTTCTTATAACTGATCTCATTTTCCTTCTCTTTTCTATACATTTGCCAATACTTTAAATGGCAATAACATGATCCTCTTTCATATGGCAGGATATAATCATCCTTTCTAATTAGTTTCCTATGTCATCTCTTAAATGATACATGTATGTGTGTAATGTGTATAATCTTGCCTGCAGGGTAGTTAATAAACAATATATTAGCATGTCTAGAACACCCAAACTAATCTAGACAGAAGGGCTCCTGTTTTCTGTGTAAAGTGGTGTCGTGGACATGAAGATGTGCCACCCAGATTCCCCTTCATAGAAGGACCTTTTGCCCCAGCTGCTGAAAGCGTTGTTAGTGGACATCCTTCAGCTGTCAGCTCCTTCAGGGATTGCTCTCATAGACAGAACCTCCTCTCCCAAGGAAACTATCATCTAGGAATTACTCACTCACACTACCGTCCAGGACTCACAAGTTGGAAACAGAAAGACCTGACTGTTTCAACCCAGTTCAGGACAACTGCTATGGGTCCTTTCACTTTTAGAGCTCTGCTCAGGGTCAGGGCTGACTGACTTGCCTCATAGATAGCTGATTTTTCCATCTTCTGTCTGTCTCCTCTTGCCTTCCATTGATAATCAATCCCCATAAACATTCTGAACACTAAATTGGTGTTCCACCTCACAGTCTGTTTCCCAGAAAAATCAAACTGCAATAAGTAGTTGGTATATATTTCTATTATAGCTCTTATGTCTTTGTGTTTTGTATATGTAGCTGACTCCTCTCTTGCCCCCAGACTAACTTGAGGGCAAGGAATATTTTTGTATTCTCAGGATCTTATGTAGCAACAGCATTCTCTGTCTCAGTAAGACACACACACACACACATACTTAGTAGAGTTAAAAGTCTAAAACTTCTTAAATTTAGAATTTTAAGATTTTATTTTAAATTTTTTCCAGCTTTCAGATGAAATGGAGACAAAGAAGGATATAGAGGTATTTAAAATTTCTGCTTTATGAGATTATATATCAAAAATATTATGTGGGACTAAAAGAATGTTTAAAGTAATATAGCAATAAATACAGATAATGGCCCCAGGAGAGAGAGTTGGAAAAAATACAAAAGCTGTCTCTTTCTGACTTGTCAGTTTATGTGTAGCCTATCTAAAATTTGTTGTAATTTAAGTTAAAATTCTGAAATAATTGCTTTTGCTTTGAAATTTGGCATAAATATATGCCAGGGCTCTTAATATCATAGAGACAGATAATATGAAGATTTTTCTTAGGTGGGATAAAGTATGTTTACTTATTTTTAGTAAAAGTTTGTAATATAATTGCTAATGAATGCTAGTAAAATTTTTACCTGTCTTCTGTAGTTATATGAAAAGAATTAAGTAATTCCTGTTATGTGATTTTCCTTCTTTCTAGGGTTGTAACTTCCCAGGATTCAGAACAAATGAGCTTACTCAGCTACCTAGACATCTGAATGCTGAACGAATTTATCTTTTTATTTTAAAGGCCCATAACTTTGATGTATGTAAATATTATTTTACTTCTATTATATGATAAATTTTGAGAATATGATTTAATGAATTAGGCCTTTATTTAAAGCTGTGACAGATTAGGTATTAAGCAAGAGTTAATTCTTTCAGGCATTAAGTCTAGCAGAAAAGACCAGTGATATGTTTAACACCTTGATCACCAAAAGAGAATGTGTTTGGTTCTGTGTTACTGCCTCAGGAGTCTGAGGTTGCTAGTGTGCGTTGGTTTGGCACATGACTGTAGCAGGTGTTTCCCCCTCTTCCTGCTCTATCGGCTCACGATATGTTAGCCTGCTCATTTTGATGTCAAGATAATTTAGGAGAACCCTTCCCCACAGCCCCACCTTTTGAACATTCAAGTTTCTGAGGAATTTTTAAGAAATATCTCTCCAGAAGTATCAATAGCCAGTTTATTGAAAAACTGCACACAAGAAGGTAAATAAATCATTGGCCATTGAATGCCAGGTATAGGATGAGATTTGAGTGGTTTTGGGTATTGATTTCCCTCTCATTTAAATATTAAGTGATCAACTAAAAAGGTTTCTGTTTCCTGGGGACTTGGACAATGCTCCTTGTACCTCCAGGCAGACTCTGAGATGGACTTGGCTCTTCGTAGACCCTCTTCTTGGAGCTTCCCAGGCAGTGCTTGTGGTAAAAACCCAGCTGCCAGTGCAGGAGAGGTAAGAGACTTGGGGTTCAATTCCTGGGTTGTGAAGATCCCTTGAAGGTGGGCATGGCAACCTACTCCAGTATTTTTGCCTGGAGAATCCTATGGATAGAGGAGCCTGGCAGGCTCCAGTCCACGGGGTCACAAAGAGTTGGACACAACTGAAGCAACTTAGCATGCATGCACACAGACCTTCTTCCTGTCCTTCACCACTAGCCTTCCCGTGGCTCTTTATTTCTCAACACAAAATCAATCTTCTCTCCTACTATAGTCCCCTATAGATGAACAGAAGGAGCACTGCTGTTGCTGCTAAGTCACATCAGTCATGTCCAACTCTGTGCGACCCCATAGACGGCAGCCCACCAGGCTCCCCCGTCCCTGGGATTCTCCAGGCAGGAACACTGGAGTGGGCTGCCGTTTCCCAGAAGGAGCACAGTCAGCCATCAAACTTGGATAAATCAGTGTCAGCCATTATTTTCTGCCCATTCCTCTTCAAGATGAGAGTGTGTCACTTTAGTGTTTCATCCTCAAGAAAAAATATTCCAAGAAACAGTCCCAAATAACCTGATTTGGGCCTCCTATTTGCCCCTTCATTAGGAAACCACAGAACTCATTTGAAAACTCCACTAAAATGATTTCGTAATGACACCTTTTCTTATTTTCTATGCTAATACAGATGTTTCTCAATTCTCTTTTATATTTTATGGGATATTGATGAGAGGGAAGGCTTAGTTTGCCCTCATGATACAATCACCTGATTGCATTTTTTAAGAGAAAACTATGGGTGGTATGATTATCCCTGGATCACGAGCATGTTGGTTACTTTGTCTATTTTCCAAAGTTTCCTCAGGGAAAAGGTTTTATTATAAAGAAATTAATATTAAGTATTGCTAAAATAATCTTAGGAATGTTCTAGACATTCTATAATCTTTAATGTTAGCATTTTGTTTTCTACAATGGGACTATATTTTAAACATGGATGCCTGTACATCTAACATAGATCACAAGTCAGTCACATAAACAAGACATAGAAGTACAGCTGTGAGGAGTATTTTGTATACTTGAAGGATGCCAGCATTTTTGATAAGTGAAAAAGGGAGGAGTGTAAGTAGATATGGGTTTGGGGTAAGAAGTGCACAGGATATGACAAGCAGCTAGGTTTAGGATATTTTGAATTTATGTACCAACAGTATGGGCTTCCCTGGTAGTTCAGTGGTAAAGAATCCACCTGCCAATATAGGAGAGGTGGGCATGATCCCTTAGTTGGGAAGATCCCCTGGAGTAGGAAGTGGCAACCCACTCCAGTACGCTTGCCTGGAGTATACCAAGGACAGAGAAGCTTGGCAGGCTACAGTCCATGGGTTCACAAAGAGCTGGACACGACTTAGCATCTATCAATAACAACAAGCAGTGGTATATCTAGACATAGATAACCAGTGTTCTATTTGTTAATACACCTGGCTGATTTGAAAAAAGAATTTTAATGGGCCTGTTGTCATCGTTCAATTGCTGTGTCCTCAACTCTTTGCGACCCCATGAACTGCAACACGCCAAGCTTCCCTGTCCTGCACTGTCTCCTGGAGTTTGCTCAAATTCATGTCCTTCAAGTTGATGATGCTACCTAACCATCTCATCCTCTGCCACTCCATTCTCCTTTTGCCTTCAATTTTTCCCAACATAAGAGTCTTTTCCAATGAGTTGGCTCTTTGCATCAGGTGGCCAAAGTGTTCAGCAACAGTCCTTGTAATGAACATTCAGAGTTGATTTCCTTTAGGATTGACTAGTTTGATCTCCTTGTTGTCCAAAGGACCCTCAAGGATATTTTCCATCTCCACAATTTGAAAGCATCAGTTCTTTAGCACTCAGCCTTCTTTATAGTCCAGCTCTCACATCTGTATGTGACTACTAGAAAAACCACAGCTTTGACTATATATGGACCTTTGTAAGCAAAGTTATGTCTTTGCTTTTTAATACTCTGTTTTTCATAGCTTTTATTCCAAGGAGCAAGTATCTTTCAGTTTCATGGCTGCAGTCACTGTCCGAAGTGATTTTTGGACCCCAAGAAAATCTGTCACTGCTTCTACTTTTTCCCCTTCTATTTATCATGAAGTGATGGGACCAGATGCCATGATCTTAGTTTTTTGAATGTTGACTTTTAAACCAGCTTTTCCACTCTCCTCTTTCACCCCATCAAGAGGCTCTTTAGTTACTCTTTACTTTCTGCCATTAGAACAGTACCATCTGTGTATCTGAGGTTCTTGATATATCTCCTGGCAGTCTTGATTCCAGCTTGTGATTCTTCCAGCCTTGCATTTTGCATGATGTACCTGCATATAAGTTAAATAGGGTGACAATATACAGCCTTGTACTCCTTTCCCAAGTTTGAACCAGTGAGTTGTTCCCTTGTGGGTCTACCTGTTGCTTCTTGAGCTGCATACAGGTTTTTCAGGAGAAGGTAAGATGGTCTGGTATTCCCCTCTTTAAGAATTTTCCATGGTTTTTTGTAACCCACACAGTCAAAGGTTCTAAGAGAACATGGTCCCCTGGAGGAGGTAATGAGAAACCCCACCAGTATTCTTGCTGTGAGAACTCTATGAACAGTATGAGAAGGCAATTGGCCTGCTACACATGTGCAATGCAATGGCATTCAAATAGATGATGAAATTAAAGTGAAGAAAAAATAAGTGTAGGAAAATAATATCAGAAGGAATGTTATTTCATAGAAATGCTTATTGTAACTTCCCAAGAGTCTGAACTTTATGAATCTAAAGCTTGGGAAGAGAATGTTAAAGGGTTACTGTTACATGCTTGAAGGCAAGGCAATACATGAAATTGACTGGATTCACGTTATCCTGTCCAAATAACATTCTTGCACATACAGTCATAGATTAAGTTTCTTGATAAAGTGTAAATTATCCCCTGTACCACCCAGAATAGAACCTTGCCTTCAGATGATGCTTAGTAAAAATTTTATTGAATTGGGTGAGAAAAGGCCTATATTATGAGAAAGCTGAGCCACAAACATACAGATATACACAAAATGTCTTAGAGGACATTAGGAATAGTTTTATCCAACCTATCAAAAGAATCAGTAATAGGAGAAAAAGTTCCAAGTCAGATAGTATATAGGCTTCAAGGTATGTTTACATTTATATGAATCAAAGTATCACAAAAGGTAAAGGTTAATGGAAGAAAGTACCATTTAATTTTTTAAGCTGGGTTTGGATTTTTTTGGCTGATTTCTATTTTTTGTTGTTTTGACTCAATACTGATGATAATTTGCAGAATTTGGAATTTTCCCGAAAGTTAGTGTCACTAAGCATAACCAAAGCTTAGAACAGAAGCAATCATGTGATTAGTTTACACTGAAAAGCATGCTTGCTTGAAATTTGGAAGTATTTCAACAAAAATTCAGATTTTTCTCTTTTATTTTAACTTTCTACTTTTTTCTTTATGTTTTTTGTAATTAAGCAGTACTAAATAAGTTGAAGCTGTTACCAGTGTACTCTATAAAAAGTGGCCTCTGAAAAAGAAGTTGAAGTGATTTTTGGACCCCAAGAAAATCTGTCACTGCTTCTACTTTTTCCCCTTCTATTTATCATGAAGTGATGGGACCAGATGCCATGATCTTAGTTTTTTGAATGTTGACTTTTAAACCAGCTTTTCCACTCTCCTCTTTCACCCCATCAAGAGGCTCTTTAGTTACTCTTTACTTTCTGCCATTAGAACAGTACCATCTGCGTATCTGAGGTTCTTGATATATCTCCTGGCAGTCTTGATTCCAGCTTGTGATTCTTCCAGCCTTGCATTTTGCATGATGTAACTGCATATAAGTTAAATAGGGTGACAATATACAGCCTTGTACTCCTTTCCCAAGTTTGAACCAGTGAGTTGTTCCCTTGCGGGTCTACCTGTTGCTTCTTGAGCTGCATACAGGTTTTTCAGGAGAAGGTAAGATGGTCTGGTATTCCCCTCTTTAAGAATTTTCCATGGTTTTTTGTAACCCACACAGTCAAAGGTTCTAAGAGAACATGGTCCCCTGGAGGAGGTAATGAGAAACCCCACCAGTATTCTTGCTGTGAGAACTCTATGAACAGTATGAGAAGGCAATTGGCCTGCTACACATGTGCAATGCAATGGCATTCAAATAGATGATGAAATTAAAGTGAAGAAAAAATAAGTGTAGGAAAATAATATCAGAAGGAATGTTATTTCATAGAAATGCTTATTGTAACTTCCCAAGAGTCTGAACTTTATGAATCTAAAGCTTGGGAAGAGAATGTTAAAGGGTTACTGTTACATGCTTGAAGGCAAGGCAATACATGAAATTGACTGGATTCACGTTATCCTGTCCAAATAACATTCTTGCACATACAGTCATAGATTAAGTTTCTTGATAAAGTGTAAATTATCCCCTATACCACCCAGAATAGAACCTTGACTTCAGATGATGCTTAGTAAAAATTTTTATTGAATTGGGTGAGAAAAGGCCTATATTATGAGAAAGCTGAGCCACAAACATACAGATATACACAAAATGTCTTAGAGGACATTAGGAATAGTTTTATCCAACCTATCAAAAGAATCAGTAATAGGAGAAAAAGTTCCAAGTCAGATAGTATATAGGCTTCAAGGTATGTTTACATTTATATGAATCAAAGTATCACAAAAGGTAAAGGTTAATGGAAGAAAGTACCATTTAATTTTTTAAGCTGGGTTTGGATTTTTTTGGCTGATTTCTATTTTTTGTTGTTTTGACTCAATACTGATGATAATTTGCAGAATTTGGAATTTTCCCGAAAGTTAGTGTCACTAAGCATAACCAAAGCTTAGAACAGAAGCAATCATGTGATTAGTTTACACTGAAAAGCATGCTTGCTTGAAATTTGGAAGTATTTCAACAAAAATTCAGATTTTTCTCTTTTATTTTAACTTTCTACTTTTTTCTTTATGTTTTTTGTAATTAAGCAGTACTAAATAAGTTGAAGCTGTTACCAGTGTACTCTATAAAAAGTGGCCTCTGAAAAAGAAGTACCCCTACAGAATGCATGATAAAAAATCTCCTTGGTTTAGAAGTTTGCAGGTTTCCCTGCTGACTCAGGGGTAAAGAATCCTCCTACCAATACAGGAGGTGCAGGTTCAGTCCCTTGATGAGGAAGATCCCCTGGAGAAGGAAATGGCAACCCCCTCCAGTCTTCTTGTCTGGGAAATCCCATGGACAGAGGAGCCTGGCCAGCTACAGTCTGTTGGGTCACAGAGTCGGACAGTACTGAACTGACTGGGCACACATAAAAGTTTGTACAATATCCTTTTTGTAGACTTGTACTTGAAGAAGAGAAGTTCCTACCTATGGATTTCATTGAAAGAAATCTTGAACTGTACTGAATCTGGCATTCACTAAAAACTTTTAGTGAATAAGATAAAATGATCCATTGAATGTACCTTTTTAAACCAAGACTTAGTCTCTAGTAGTCATGGTAAATTAACTTCATGTGCCCGTTTTGATGAATTGCTAAGAAAGAATACTATGTTTAGTTAGGCTCTAGACTTACGATGGGGCCCATTGGGTTAGAATCCCATGATTGTTGATATCTGTCTTTATCATAAAAGGGAAACTGTAGCATGTGTCCTGGATTTTTGCTAGTCCTGGTCTAGCCTACACTGCCATTTCAATAACTGCTAACCAAATGTGATTACTTAGCATATGAAATATGCCTGTTGTAACTCAGTTGAATTTTTTTATTGAAAAATAGTTTAACAGTGTTGCATCGGTTTCTGGGGTACAGCAACGTGATTCAGTTATACTATATAATATATATTATATATATATACTTTTTAAGGTTTTTTTTTCCATTATAGGTTATTACAAGTATTTCCACTAGAGGTTATTACAAGGTCTTGAATATAGTTTCCTATGCTATACTGTGGGACCTTCTTACTTATTTTATATATAGTAGTGTGTATCTGTTAATCCCAAACTTATGATTTATCCCTCTCCACTATTTCCCTTTTGATAACCTTAAGTTTATTTTCTATGCCTGTGATTAGCTGAATTTTAAAAATTTTTTACTTTAATTATACATAAATTTTAAAATTACTTGATTCAATTATTGAACAACTTTAGAGTTAAAAAATAATAACCATATATTTTATAAAATCTAATTATGATCTAGTATTTTTGAAGAAAATACAGTGTTCAAATTGAGATGTGCTGTGAATATAAAATATATACTATATTTCAAGGACCTAGTACCCAAAGGAATGTAAAATATTTCATTAATAATTTTATAACATTTATAAATACTAATACTTTATGTATATACTAATACTTTATATAATACTAATTTATTATAATACTAATACTTTAAATATATTTGGTTAAATCTCACTAAAACATCACCTTTTTACCTTGTTAAAATGTCTACTAGAAAATATATATATGGCTCACATTAAATTTCTATTGAGCAGTGGTAGTCTATAACTATTAAATACATACTCTTTATAAAGCCTATTTATATTAACGTGTCTTATAATACATATTAATTTGATTATATGTATCTTTTTTCCATAGGGAAAAGTTTTTAAAATCTGGAGAACTCATTTTCTCTCAGAAGCCTCTATTGCTCTTTTGCATGATTGCTTTTGGTGGTGGTTTCTCCATAAATTTAAGGTAAAATGTTATTTTTTAAACTTCCTTTAAAAATGTTGATTTGCAGCATAATTTTTCATTAGCAGTAACACTGGTATTTTTTAATGTTCTGATCCTGTCACAAAGCTTGTTTTTTTAGATATTCTGCATATATTAGAAGTCATGTTTGAAATCTAGAGTTCTTTTAGAGGAGTTAAAACCTTAATGTGGATTTCAAAGATCCAGAGTCTGTATTAGTCAGAAAAAGATTAGTTAAATCAAACACTGTAGTAAATAATAAAGTTTTAGCTTTACTCAATAGCATAGTGCACTGACAAACACTAAAGAGAAAATCCACTGCAAATCAGTGACATTGAAAGAGGTTTCACTTAGAAAACACAATACATCAGATGGGAAGAGGGTCCTGTCTTGATTCAGAAAGATGAAAACTCTGCTTAGGATTAAAAAGAGAAAGACATGGGTATCTGGGAAGCAATAAGAGAATGGAAATAAGCAGTATATGAGTCTTACATCAGAGAATACATGAGCCTGGGGAAAGTGGTGAATACCAATGACTGCTGTGTGGCCTCTGGATCTAGAAGAATGAAAAGCAGAGTAATGCTGGGGATCACAGTCCAAGCATTAAGAAGGTGTGCTGCCCCATCAGGGAAGTCTGATATTAGGCTCAGTTCTTCACCTCCCCAGCTCAAATTGCCCAAAGAAAACTGCTTCTGGATTCTTTCATACAATGAAGGAATTAATTCTATTGATTTTTCATAAAACTATTTGAATAGAGCATTATGTTCCTTGTGGCTCAACTGCTAAAGAATCCACCAGCAATGTGGGAGACCTGGTTCGATCCCTGGGATGAGAAGATGCCCTGGAGAAGGGAAAGGCTACCCACTCCAGTATGCTGGCCTAGAGAATTCTGTGGACCGTATAGTCCATGAGGTCACAAAGAGTCGGACAATAACTGAGCAACTTTCACTTCATCATCACTTCACATGTGTTAGAATAATTAATGTAATTCAAGGTAAGAGTATCTGTCCTGTATTTCTGATGTCGTTAGGAGTTGAATGAGAAATAGGAAGTGGTGTATCAGTTCTACAAAGGTAATTATGTAGGGAAACATAAAATCAGACTTTCATTACCTTAACTTTCTTTCTCCAGATTTGGATTCCAAATTTGTATTTTTCCATAATAACAGAAAGCATTACTTTCCCACTTAAATCTGTTAGGATTATATATATAACAAGTTTTTGAAGGAAACATAGAGTAGCAATGTTTCTAGTAACTGCTTTGTCAAGCTACATTATTTGGAACAAACAGATCTGACACAAAAATATTAACAACCCATTACATTTATAGGGGTATCTGTGGAATAAGAAGGAATTAGAAGTCATTTTATCTTTAAGCAAACTATTCTCTATAAAGTACTGGCTTCCTGAAATTATAGTAATTATTTTAAAATCTTACAATTTAATAACATTTCCAATATCATTAAGATCTCTGTTGTGTTTTGAGGAATATTATGTGATTGATCTGGGTGAGTGTTCTGCTACTGTTCTAAGGGAACTGAAAGGGTATCCAAGTCATACTGAAGCAACATTTCCATGATTTAACCAAAACAGCGCCTCTTTCATCTGTTCTGTTCCTTACATTTCACCTATGATTTTATTTCTAAGAGGGTTCTTTTGTTAAGTATATGAAGCCAGTGAACTAGATTAATAGCATGGCCTCTTGGCTTCATCAAATTCATCATCAAATAAATCAAATTCATCATCAAATAAATGTGGTGAATGCTCAGACATTTTTACCAGCATTGTGTGGGAATATTTGTACTGTTAGGTAAGCACATATTTCAAGCTGTACTACATTTTCAGGTGAATACAAAACACATACATTCTATCTCTTTTTAGGTCCACCTTATAAATGATAAATAGTACTGACTTTATAACTAAAATAACCTCCCCCCAAGCCACTAGTACAATTTAATTACCAACAGCCAATTTTATTGCCAACAATACAAAATAATGTATAATCATACTCTAGAATATAGCATGATTCAGTATGCTTCAGTAATTGTTAGTGACTAATATAAAAGCAAATTTCTTTTATTACCTGTGACTTAGTGTTAGATTGATCTAGTAGAAAAACTGCTGCACTTGAATCCAGGAAACAGTGACAGACTTTATTTTGGGGAGCTCCAAAATCACTGTAGGTGGTGACTGCAGCCATGAAATTAAAAGACTCCTGCTCCTTGGAAGAAAAACTATGACAAATCTAGACCACATATTAAAAAGCAGAGATATCACTTTGCCAACAACAGTCTGTCTAGTCAAAGCTATGGTTTTTCCAGTAGTCATGTATGGATGTGAGAGTTGGACTATAAAGAAAGCTGAGCACCGAAGAATTGATGCTTTTGAACTGTGGTGTTGGAGAAGACTCTTGAGAGTCCCTTGGACTGCAAGGAGATCCAACCAGTCCATCCTAAAGGAGATCAGTCCTGGGTGTTCATTGGAAGGACTGATGCTGAAGCTGAAACTCCAGTACTTTGGCCACCTGATGCAAAGAACTGACTCATTTGAAAAGTCCCTTATGCTGGGAATGATTGAAGGCGGGAGAAGGGGATGACAGAGGATGAGATGGTTGGATGGCATCACGGACTCGATGGACTTGAGTCTGAGTAAACTCCGGGAATTGGTGATGCACAGGAAAGCATGGAGTGCTGCAGTTCATGGGGTCCCAAAGAGTCAGACATGACTGAGTGACCGAACTGAGCTGAACTGAACCGAATCCAAGAAGTTAACATTTTAAATCTGATTTTCCCAGTAGTTACGGTGAGATTTCAATACTTTGGCCACCTGATGTGAAGAACTGACTCATTTGAAAAGACCCTGATGCTGGGAAAGATTGAAGGTGGGAGAGGAAGGAAACAACAGAGGTTGAGATGGTTGGGTGGCACCACCAACTCAACAGACATGAGTTTGTATAAACTCTGGGAGTTGGTGATGGATGGGGAGGCCTGGCAAGCTGCAGTCCATGGGGTCACAAAAAGTCGGACACAATTGACTGACTGAACTGAAGTGAACTGAGGGTGAAACTTTGGGTTAGTCAAAAAATTGCTCTGAGCTTCAATTATCTCATCAGATTTTAAAAACAGATTTTAAAAACTCTCTTGTTTGGCCTAAAACTAACATAAACAAGATCCCTAGTAAACTGTGAAATACTATATAAATGTAATATGGATTCAGTGCAATAGAATTAAGATCTGGCTTTCAGAAACAAGTTTGGAAGTGTTAATCACTCAGTCGAGTCCAACTCTTTTTGACCCCTTGGACTGTAGCCTGCCAGACTCCTCTATCCATGGAATTCTCCAGGCAAGAATGCTGGATTGGATAGTCATTCCCTTCTCCAGATCTTCCCGACCCAGGGATCAAACCCAGGTCTTCCACACTGCAGGCAGACTCTTTACCATCTTAGCCACCAGGGAAGCCCCCAAAACAAGTTTATCCATTAGTAAATGATGTAACTAAATAGTTACTTACTTCTTTCATAAAAACTTTAAAAATTACCTATTTTATCTGTTTATTGGGAGTTAGAAAATGCATTTAAAGTTGTTTGTTTACATAGAAGTTGTTTAAATGGTATATAGGGTATATGCTAAGTGCTCAGTGGATACATCTATCATTAGTATTGTTTATTATTATATTCATAGTGAAAATACAGTGTTCCAAAAATTGCTGGCCAATGTGTAGCTAATGATAAAAGTTTCCCTGATGATGTTTAACTAGAAGAATTCTAGTAATGATATACCCTTAAAGGTTTCAAAATTGTCCATGGGACTTTGGCCCTCAAAATGATTCAGAAGCCTGGAAAGTGTATCACTTCTACCCATAAAATATCAATAATAAGCCATATGTAACCCACAAAAATAACAACTTTTTTGAACTCATCATACAGAGTAAATCTGAAAGCAAAGAATGTTACCAGGGAAGGGTAACTGTATCATGAGGGCTTCCCTTGTGGCTCAGATAGTAAAGAATCTGCCTCCAATGCAGGAGACCCAGGTTCAATCCCTGGGTCTGGAAGATCTCCTGGAGAAGGGGATGGCTACCCATTCCAGTATTCTTGCCTGGGGAATTCCATGGACAGAGGAACCTTGCAGGCTACAGTCCATGGGGTTGCAAGGAGTTGGACATGACTGAGTGACTAACATAAACACAAAGTAGTCAATTCATCATTATGACATAACAATGAAATATTTATATACCTAATTAAAATGCTTTGAAACACATTTAATAAAAAAATTTAATACTTAAAAGAGAACTAGACAAATCTATAAATACTGTTAGATATTTCAGCACCTCCATCTCAGTAATTGGTAGAATGTACAGAAATCAGTTAATGATACAGAATGATGTAGATGATTTGAGCAACACTTTGTTAACCAACTTTATGTATTTAATTGATATTAAGCATTCCTGTTAATGACAGTAGAATACACATTTTTCTCATGTACATATTAAATCTTTACCAACTATATTCTGGGCTAGGAAAACATTCTAATAAAATTAAAAGAGTTCAAGTCATGTTTTTAGACCAAAATGGAATTAGATTGTAAATGGATAACAGAAAGCTATCTGGAAAATCCTCAAATATTTGGAAACTAACATACTTCTCAGGAACTATGGGTCAAACCAGAAATCAATAGGGAAATTGAAAAGTATTTTGAGCTTATTGAAAATGAAAATGCAGATTAAATTTGTGGGATATACCTCAAGCAGTATTTGGAAATTTAAAGCAGTAAGATGCCTATATTTGAAATACGGAACATTCTCATAAACCATGACCCCAGCTTCTAGTGTAGGAAACTGGAAAAAGAAATGAAAACCCAAAGTATGCAGAAGAAAGGAAATAATAAAGACCAGTTGTTGCCATTGCTTAGTCACTCAGTCATGTCCAACACTTTTGCAATCCCATGGACTGTAACCCACCAGGCTCCTCTCGCCATAGGATTTTCCAGGCAAGATTACTAGAATGAGTTGCCATTAATGTATAAGAGTTCCCAAACAACAAATAACTCAAAGAATAAATCACAGGGAAAATTAGAAAATAGCTTGAGACAAATGAAAAAAAAAAAGCAGAACATACCAAAACTCACAGGGAAAAACAAAAGCAGTGCTAAAAGAGAAGTTTACAGTTTTAAACAAATCAATAAACAATATATCAACAACCTAAATTTACCTAATAAGGAACTAGAAAAAGAATGACAAACTGAACCCTTACTTAACAGAAGGAAGGAATGAATAGATTAGAGTGGAGATAAATAAAATAGAAAATTGAAAAATGGTAGAGAAAAGCAATAAAATCAAAAGTTATTCCTTAAGATCAATCAAAGTGACAAACCTCTAGCAAGAGTAAGGCAGAAGGAAATGGCAGCCCACTCCAGTATTCTTGCCTAGAGAATCCTGTGGACAGAGGAGCCTGGTGGGCTGCTGTCCAAAGGGTTGCAGAGTCGGACACAGCTGAAGTGACTTAGCAGCAGCAGCAGCAAAAGTAAGAGGACTCAAATTAAAGTCAGGTGAAAGTAGGAACTTTACTATCAGCAAAGAAATAAGAAGGATTAAGTGGACTGTGAGCAAACATAAAATAACAAACTAGATAGCCTGTGTAAAATGGACAAATTCCTAGAAATACATAATTTTCCAAGACTGAATAATGAAATAGACAATCTGAATAGATCTATAACTAGTAAGGAGATTAAATCAGTAATCAGAAACCTCCCAACAAAGAAAGTCCTGGACCAAATGACTTCACTGATGAATTCTGCCAATATTTAAAGAAGAATTAACACCAGTCCTTCTCAAACACTTCTAAAAAAAAACCTGAAGAGGAGGGAATACTCCTAGCTCATTTTATGAGACCAATATTGCCGTGATACCAAAGCTAAAGATAATACAAAAAAAAAATATACAGATCAATATCCTCTTTGGTGGATATTGATACAAAAGCCTTCAACAAAATATTAGGAAACTGAATTCAGCAGCATATTAAAAGGGTTATACAGCCTGACCAATGAGCTTTATTCCTGGAAAGCAAGAATGATTTAACATATGTTAAACAGCTAGATCTAATGAGCATATCAGTAACTTGAATATCCATCAGCTGTAGGATAACTTTTCTTTTCAAGCATACCAAAACATGTATAAAAATTTACCATACTATTTTGCTACTCAGTCTCCTGTGTAAGTATATTTGGTGTGTACGTTACACTTAATTGTATTAATCAAAGACGTGTTCTGAAACTTTCTGTCTAGATATTTCTTCATACATGATTGTAGGTTGTATAGCTGAAACATGCCAACTTTATTCACTAGTAAATTATATATAATCTCATTTAATTCTCATACAACTCTAAATGAACTACTTCCCATTATATAAATGATCCAGAATTTTTAGCTATTAATATTATCATTATTGTTTCTGCTGCTATCTCCATCTGTAAACTTATTACAGAAGCATGAGAGCTGTACTGGGAGTTAGGAGACCTGGATCCTAGTCTGGCTTTCAGTTACGTAACTGTGTATCAGTTCAGTTGCTCAGTCGTGTCCGACTCTTTGCAACCCTATGGACTGCAGCACGCCAGGCTTCCCTGTCTATCACCAGCTCCCAGAGGTTGCTCAAACTCATGTCCATCGAGTCAGTAATGCCATCCAGCCCATCTCATCCTCTGTTGTCCCCTTCTCCTCTTGCCTTCAATCTTTCCCAGCATCAGGGTCTTTTCCAGTGAGTCAGTTCTTCACATCAGGTAGCCAAAGTATTTGAGCATCAGCATCAATAATAGTTAACTGTGTATAACCTTAAATAATGCTCTTAAGCTTTCTGGACAGTAGTGCAATCACTAAATTAGAGAGATTTAACCTAAGTGATATCTAACTTCCATTTTAGTTCTAAAATACTATACATTTATGAATCCCAGCTCATATGGTTTGCTAATTTGATAGAAAATTACCACTGAATTTAATCATTTTTGGTGTTTATTACCAAAACCTGTTAATGCCAGCTTGTGGTTCTACTGTTGATATCATAAATGAATTTGGACTCTTAATTCATCTATTCATTGCTTAATAGAGCAAGAATTCAAGATGCTACCTTAAGACTTTACTGTAATGTTAACAGTATCGTTATCTATAGATTTCTTCCTTCTTATGACATTCTACTTTGTTTTTAGTCTATCATGTCACAATTTTACTAGTTCTGGCTATGGCTGTCTCATTCCAGTAATTGCTTTAATTTTATGCTGAGTTACTTATTATAAAAGATTTGGAATGGCTATAGAGTGATAGAAGGTAAGTATGTCATGGACAGCCTTGTGCATGCCAACCACTATTCAAGAAACTTTATTAATTCATCAAACATTGGTATTCTTTCTGTGTGCCAGGCACTGTGAAGGCTTTAAATACAGAGTCAAACAAAATGTGATCCTTGTCCCAATTGAATTTTAAGATACTACTTTAAGGCATGTATATATTACCTACATTTGCAGATAAGGAAACTAGGACTTGCCTAGGATAGTGCAGCTAATGAATAATGGGGCCAGCATTTAAATTCAGGTCTGCATGATGCCAAAAACCCATGCTCATTCCATTATAGCAACTGATCTGCCGTTTGAGAATAGATAGAATTACTGACATTATGTAAACAAATTCTAATTTTAAATTGTGATATTGTTTTAATTCCATACCTGTTTTATTTCTTAAGCCTGACAGAGAAAATCAAGATTGCTTGTTTGATAGAATTTCAGAAAGTTATGTGTCACTTTTCATGAGCATACCTCTAAGCCGAAAGGATGCATTCTTTCAGGTAAATACTGAAGTTAACTGGTTATGCAAATTATATTTATGGCAAATTAACTATAAAAAGTTATTTTATTTAAACACATATGAGAACGTATTTTGTTGCTTTGAAAGCAAAATTGCCTCAAGTAGAGTAAAAAAGCTAATACTTTAAGTTATGCCCCCACTGCAGAATATTATATTCTGCTGAAAGCCTTACAGAATCTATTTGTTTGCATACTGAAAAATAGTGACTTACCCTATGCATATTCTTGATTTTTTAATCTACAAAATTATTTTCCTTTTACTTGATAAAGTATATTTGGTCTAAGAGGACTTAACCTCTTGTGTTATGCAGAAGTACAACACTAAGCACCTGTTAACAGTAAAGAACAATGAACAAATCTATGAATCAAATGTTTGTTTTACTATGTTAAAATAATTTGGTTAAAATAATTTATGTTCTTTAGTAATGTGAAATGAAGATGCACGGAATTTAATTGAGTATTTTGAAATGTAAACATCTAGCATTCCAAAGCAGAAGACACATTCAAATACTTTGTTGAAATGACATTTGTAAAATCAGAAATACATAAGTATTTTCAAGTCAGTAACTGTTTTTATGGATAAATCCTAAAATAAAATAAATGTCTATCAAGAAAACATAAAATTGCCAAATATTTATACTCAATCTTGATCTATCTTACAAAAATGTACAGAAGGAAGCCAGCAGTGGGTTGGGAGTCAATAATCTGCTACTAATTACACAGGTGATCTTGCAGACATTCATTCTCTCAGTTCCATAGCCGTTATCCATCAGATGAAGAGGTTGACCCATGATTCATAAATTGCCTTATAGAACACTGATATTCCAAAAGATAGACTAGGATTTTCTCTGCTAATATTAAATTTATTTTTCTTATTTACAGGAAAAATATTAGTGGTTAGGATTTTTGGTCATTAAATTGCCTTGAGATGACAAAACTGGCTGGATTTCTCTTATCTATAATCTTTCACCTAGTCTGTCCTTTCATGGTGGGTTTTGTCTATCTAATACGTGGTTTGATAAAGTCGAGCATGCTTTAACACAAGCCTTAAGAAAAGAATTTTTAAAAGCCTATTTAATGTGAACAAACAAGCAATGGCACCGTCACATACCCCTCATTCTGTAATTTCTAGTCTTACATTTATTGTCCGAATGTTCTCCTTGGGATAGATGTGCCTTTTGATATCAAAATGTTGTCTTTATAATCTTTCTCAAATCATGACTTGATTTTTTCTGAAGTCCTTATTTTCAGTGGCATTTTTCAAGGAGAAATTAGAAGTTATTTAACAAAGATTCAAAGCCTCACTTGAGAACAAACAACATGTACACCTTAGTGATTGGACCCCTCCCCCTGTTTCTAGTCTTGTGAACCAGACTAACTCCCTACAGATCTATTACCTCCGCAGCTGTATAAGTAGAAATGAAGCCTCATCTCTCATTGACTAATTTCTGTTGTAACTCATTCAAGTAATTGGTAGTTTTGTTACTAATTGGCTCATCTGAGAAAAACATATTAATATTTAAGAATCAAAAAATTATCTTCAGGTCTCACTATTCAGTATAAATTAATTGAATCTGATCATATGGCTTTTATTTCATTTTCTTCCAATGTCATACAATGATATTCCCTCAGAAAATTTCCCAACACCATCTGACACTTTATCTCTTTTCCCACTAATATCCTGAAGCTAAGATATACACAGAAAACAAAATGTAAAAGTTCCCCTTACCTAGTTCAACTTTTTAATTACTAGCATAATTTTATATACCACAATTAGTCACAAGATGTGACTCTTTCGAGTAGTATTTTAAAATGTCCATGGCTGAGTCAATAAAATTAAATATATCAGTGTTTTTAAAGCATCCTTCCCTGCCTTTTTCCCTACCCCAAAAAACTAATGAAATTCTTCAAAGAATACCATGATTTACCAGCAGATTTGAGCACTGCTGAGACAGGTGACTATATTATTTTTCTGTTGTTGGTGTAAAAACTATCATGAAGTTAGGGGCTTAAAGCAATGGAAATTCATTGTTTTACAGTTATATAGATCAGAAGTCCAAAATGAGTCTTATGGGATTAAAATCAAGGTATCAACAGAGCTAATTTCTTTAAGAAACCCAAAGGGAGAAATCATCTCTTGCATCTTCCAGTTTCTGGTATCTGCCAACCTAATAATTGTGTGACATAATAGAGGTGTTAACTGATGCTGTGGTGGTAATCATATTGCAAATTACAAATATATCAACATGTTGTACACTTAAACTTACTCAGTATTACATGTTAAATATATTTCAATTAAATGTATATATACTTGTTATAATGACTGGAAAGAGGGTATACTTTTTCTTAAAGAGGATATCAGTAACAGGGTTAAATGAAATAAGTGTAGAATCATTAAACCTTAACTGTTAGCTTCATCCTTTATCCAAATTAAATTTTTTTCCCAAAATGCTAGCAAATAGATAAATTGATATGACTTTATTTTTAACTCTTCTTTGTTCATATTCTTCAGTTGTTGGAAGTACACAGAGGCAAAAAAGGACAAAAACAAGTTATAAGAAGAAAAAGGGACATGTATATTTCACAAACTCAACAAATTCTTTTGTATTTTAGATAATGTTACATGAAATATGGAATTATTTTAATATGACTCTGTTTTGGTAGGTGTATCCTGATTGTTTGGCACAGGCTATCTATGCAACATTCCAGGAAGCATTTCCAGAATCCAGTAATCTCTTTAATGATGAATTTAAAGAAGATCTAGGGAATAATATTTTTCTTTGGTTGTCAGGTATGAATGTCATTTAAGTATTGATCATTACTTTGATACCTAGAACTTTTGAATTGCAGTGTTTTGTTTACTCTAGTCAAAAATTTTGTTGTTCTTTGTCTTACAAAACATAGAATATTAATGTCTATGTTTCAAAATAATAATGATGATTTTCTTCTGAAAATTCTGTTATAATAAAATTAGTCAGTTATTAACTTTAGAAGGAAATAATTTTATAGGCAGTGGAATTCTTGTAGAAACCAAAACTGCCACAGAAGGAAAACTGTATGATACATATTTTATATTTGCAAGAGAAATATTTCAAGCTACTTCTTTTAGAACACTGCTGGCATTTTTATAGCAAATAATACTGGGTAAATTCTAGAGCTAACTGAATTCTTTATATGACTACCATCATTAATCAAGGGAAAAAAATGTTTGAATTGTGATGTGTCTGTGTGTCTAGGTAGGAGTTCAGTTCAGTCACTCAGTCGTGTCCGACTCTTTGCAACCCCATGGACTGCAGCACACCAGGCTTCCCTGTCCATCACCAACTCCTGGAGCTTG